AAAAGGACTCGTGTTTATTATCGTCTCTTGTCGCTGTGTGGAATATTTAAATATGTCGACACAAATCAGTCCGGTGTAACTGTATTCACAGTTTGCTAAGGCAGTTACAAATTAAATATAAACAATTCACAACGCGACTGTGCTGACGAAGAATTACTTCTGTGCGGACATATTTTTAGCACGTCAATATTCTTCTTCTTTCGCTCGGGGAAAAATGCTCTGATATTTCCAGCACATCAATATTCTTTACTTGTATATGCCCTCGCAAATAATTCGACTCGACTACCTATCAAATGCAGATACTGTCACATTGACGTAATATAAGGAGATATAACACGTGATATAACATGCGAGTTGCAATGTAAATGTCAGTCATAAAACTTTCCACTTCACGTTGTTTTCGGTTTGAAATTGTAAATATGTAATATAAATATAAAATGTGTCAATGAAATGTTATGTAAATGTGTGTTATTATACAGAGTGTATAAAAAGTACCGGGACAGCGGAATATCTCGAAAACTTAGCATTAAAAAAAATGTTTTAGACAAAAAGTTGTATGGTTTTAAGGGACACATGAAACAACAATATCATTTTGTTTACAGATGATGCCACTTTCGAAATATTTATTGATCATTATTTTTCTTAAATGGAAATTTCAATTTTTTATTACCTTATTTTTCTCTACCAATCAATTTGGACAACTTTTGTCTGAAACATTTTTTTATTTGCCTAATTTTTTTTTTAAGGAAAACTTGGTAACTTTTCAATATTTAATGATATCTCGCTAACTATTTGTCGGATGGAAAAATAGTACTAGACTTTTTTACTCTATTTGATCTTAAGAATATACTGTTACAATAGTGCCCTCATTTTGTTTTGTTAATTTATCAACTTTTGGAAATTTTAAAATCATCAAATTAACAAAAGTCGAGGCACTGTTGTAACAATATATTTTTGAGATCAAGTAGAGTAAAAAGAGTAAAAAAGTCTAGTATCACTTTTTCATTCGACAAATAATTAGAGAGATATCGTAAGTTAAATATTGAAAGTTACGAAGTTTTTCGTAAATATCTCAAAAAATAGGCGAATAAAAAAATGTTTCGGGCAAAAGTTGTTCAAATTAATTGGTAGAAAAAGACGATATAATAGAAAAATTAGGGTTTAAGAAAAATAATGATCAGTGAATATCTCGAAAATGGCGTTATCTGTAAATAAAGTGACATAATTATTTTATGTTCCACTTGAAACCATACAACTTTTGTTTGAAACATTTTTTCTAAAGTGCTTAGTTTTCGAGATATTTCGCCATCCCGGTATTTTTTATACACCCTGTATACATATATTTGTCGCATCATTTGCTAAAGGTTACGTAACAATAGTAACAGGTCGCTGAAAGATTTATGCAGTTGAAATATAAGTTATCTATTATCCAGCGAATATAGGTACGTAATTGTTACAACATCGCAATATATCAAGAAATATAACACACAGTAACACTTGAGCGCAAATGGCACATCTCACCGACTTGTTGCATGCGTTGAAAAAATGGCTATTACCCTGATTATATTTTTTAATTTTAATTTTAGTTACATACTGCGGCTGTATATGTACGAGTTGCCAATTAAATATCAGTTAAGTTGTATTAATAAAAATATGTCTCGATAAATGTTTTAATTGTCGAAAGTGATATTTAATTGGTATATTAACGCGTAAAAATATCTCGCTATTATATACGAATTGATCGACAATTGCGATTTATTCACACTTCATCGGCAGAAATGATATTTCCGTGGAATTGTTTTACTGATGACATTAATTACAATTGCAAGCATGTGCCAATTCATTATAAGAATTAGTTTCGCGGTTTAAATTTCGCGAGATCGTGTTAATCGCTCTTAAATACGTTGATGCGTGAGATTTCACGAAAAGAATGGATTTAGCGGGCGATATGATATTTGCATGTAAAAAATATCACATTACATGATTAATAAATAACTTGTCATATATTGTGAATGAAAAAGTAACACTTATAAAAATTATATTGTGCATGCAAAAGCGTGTTGTGTAACTCAACATGAATAAAATAAAGCAACCATTACGTCGTGTTACTTTCATATTACATAGCAATTTTTTGTTCGCTTGATAATATCGCAAATGTGCTATAATTTTGTCATATCACCTTTAGTTTCCATTTACATTTCCTTCCATAGCTTCGCACAGAACGTATTTTCTACGGTATATTCTAAGGTATCTTTTTCATATATTTATTAAGTTGTGCGGAAAATTCGTTTCAAATTTTCTATATAAATTCAGTGCGCAATATTTTTACACAAAGAGAGCTTTATTGAAGCAAATGTGTAACCGTTTTGTTGAACGATCTTGACCTATCTTTCAGGAAGCTGTCTTTGTTTCAAAATGAAAGTTTCTTACTGGCGAAGAAGTGAAGCTTTTAAAGACTTCCAAAGATTCGAATTTCTGGTCTTGAAGAAAATTTTTCAGAGAGAAATAACTAACAGTCAGATGAGACAAGGTTGGGCGAACGGAGGATGAGGAAGAATGTCCCATTCGAAGTCTAACAGCTTCCTACGGATAGACATTGCGACGTGAGGTCTGGCGTTATCATGGTGGAAGACAATTCCACGCTTGTTGGTCAATTCAAGATGCTTTCGTGCGATGGAAGCTTTCAGTTCGTCCAGTTGAAGACTGTCCAGCTCTGGCTTGGCCACTGTTTACGTAGACGTGTCGCTGGGTCTCCACGATCTCTTGAGGCTAACACTGTTGTATAAGATCCATTTCAACACAACTTTCATTGCCTGTTATAATCCTTTTCAGAAACAGTTTCTTTTGGTACCGTTGAAGTACATGTTCACACATTCCACTAGCTGCCATTCACCCATTTCGTTAGTACCCAGACATCCAGTTGAAAACCCCAGCTTCTTCAGGTAGTCATGCACGGTAAAGACGGACTTATGCAGAGTGTCGGTGAGTTTTCTAACAGTCACTAACGGATTTTCGCCCATCAAGTCCTCAAGAAGCATTTTATCAACCTCCTGAAGCTGGCCGAAGTTACTATTTTTCATGTTGAAATCGCCAGCGGTCGGAAGTGGAATCTCCAATACCACTTCCGAACTGTCTGGTGAATGACACGGGCATCTCCATAGACAGAAAACAACTGATTCAGGATCTGCGAAGCTGTAAAGCCATGCTTGAAGCAATACAACATCACATGGCGAAAATGGATTTTCTGATTCTCTATTTTTCAAACTGCCGAAATAGTTGTACTTAGGAAGATCTGCGAAGTTTCTTTGGCGAGCTCGTAGATCCGGGAAAGTTTGTTGACGAGCACAAAATCGTTTAGAGTGCCCTCGTTCTCATTAATTAGATAGAAATGCGCAGCGTGTGAAATTTGAAACGAGCTTTTCGAATAACCTAATACATGAATGCTTAATAGGTTGAATTATTAATACAGAATATGTGTTACTTGGAATATACATCAAACGGCATATTTCATGACTCAGTGGCGACTTTCATTCAATTCAAAATAGATATTCGAAGCATCCCCCTGTATAACATACCTCGAAAGTGAGATCATTTTATGAATTTATCACAGTATTAGGGGGTCGTATTAACTCGTGCCGTTCGTTCATTTGGAATATTTATTATTTTCATAATATGTTACAATCGGGCATCAATCAAAGCAATTGCCATCGCTTTCGACTATCTTTTGCCATCTTTCTGGTAAAAGCTGGATCCCTCGTCGAAAGAAGGAACTGTCTTTTGAGGCGATCCAATCATCGATCCATTTTTGGAGTTCCTCGAGATTGGCGAAGTACGTGTCTTCCAAGGCGTGTTGCATGGAGCGGAACAGGTGAAAATCGGAAGGAGCAAGATCGAGGGAACAGGTAATAGAGAAGCTAGGTGCCGGAGAACTTCCCATTCCAGGCCCATTAATGTTTCTTGCAACCGTTCACGTGCGGTCTGGCGTTGTCATATTGGAGGATCATTTTCCGTCCGTTATTGGCTACTGACGGCCTTTTTTGCATAAATTCGTCGTTTAATCGCTCCAGTTGCCGTTGATAAAGTGCGGCATTAATATTTCACTGGGATTCAGAAGCTCATGATATACGCTTTCCATATCTTACCAAATATATAGCATTATTTTCTTTCTGTGAATATTCCGCTTTGGTGTTGATGTTGAAGACTGATCGAGGTCCACCCATTACTTCCTCCGTTTTCGTAGTACATCCACTTTTCGTCTCCAATCACGATACGCCACGAAAACTCTTCTTCCTATGTTTAGCAAGCAAGGAAATGCAAATTTTCAAGCGATTCAACTTTGAGCTTTCTAACAATTGATGAGGCATCAATTTTCCTTTCTTATGGATTTTCTCTAGGACATGTAGCCGCCTCTAACGATTGATTTATCGACTACGTGAGCTACTGATAGTTCTTTGAGCGTCCGTGCCGGATTTTCATCCAATAACTCCTGCAGTTCCTCGTCAAATTTTTTCGGCTGCCACGAACGTTTCTTGCTTTGAACTTCAATATCACCTTCTTTGAAACGTTGCATCCATTTTCTACACGTTCTTTTCGAAGGAGCAGCTTCGCCATAAGTATCCAGAAGCAATTAATAAGTTTCAGCTGCACTCTTTTTTCAAGTCAAAATAATGAAGAAACACATGTCGAAAAAACTTTATTGCGTTCTATATTCGCTTCATTATTTATCACCTTTTTTATTAAATTTTTCACATAAAAAATTTTAAAAATGTCTTATAGATATAAATATTCTTAGATAATGACAGAATTATTTCATTATTTTCGTCATTAACTTATAACGTGTTTGCAATACGTTTGAATGATCATTTTTCATTTCTATTTTATATTGTCATTAAATTTCCAAAATATAACATATATAAATACGTAAATATGTATATGAAACTTAATACATATTAACGTTTTTACACACATACATATGTTGAGCTTAAAAAAAGTAATATATAATAATGATATGAGTTGTCTGAATTTAAATTGTTGATTTCGCCCAAATGAGTAAAAAAATCTTTATTACTTCGACCTGGAGAATGTTGTCTTCAAAGAATTTCAAAGAATAGAGAAAAAAAGGCTGAGGAATGTTTGTGTTGTTTAGAGTATACTCGCAAAGATGTACCGATACATATTATTATTATTATATATTATTTTTTAAAGTTGTCCTTTCTATATATATTGTATAAACTATAAACATTTATGTACAATATATACACATACAATAAATCAGTTAGAATAACATCAGTCTTGTATCGAGATACTGTAAAGTTTGTCCAAAGGTACGTTCTCTATTATTTTTGGTTTTGATCTTGGCAGAATGTTGTCTTCAGAACTCTGTCTACCGTTCTCTTTCTTTTTGTTTAAAATACTCGTGACGGTGTACTGATACATATCATTATTAATTGTTCTTAACCTCTCAATCTCTGTCTTCATAAGATTCAGTTTCGCGTTCGAAGCTGAAGTTTCTTCTGAATTTCGGGGCTCGTTGATGTCGTTGCGCACGTAAGAGTCGAAATCTAGAATTTTCCGAGAATTCCGCCCCCTGGAAATGACTTGGAGTACGTTCCTGTTGCTGTCATCCGAGGTCTGCTGCAGGCTGTGCAACACCAGACGCGGCATCAACGTGGTGGCGGAGAAGTTTTCGAATGCCGGCGCGAAGAACGCAGCGGTGATCGGACCTTTGTGCTTGATCGTTCGGAGCACGTGTCGACTGGCGATGTCCCAAATGTGAACTGCTCCGTCAACAGCACCTGACAGTAATGTGCAACAATTCAGTGATACCGACAGAGCGGTCACATGCGACTTGTGCGCTTCAAACAGGGTATCGTCCTTTTCGGCATCGCGCGAGCTCGTTTTAACATGTTGCACGACACCACGTGGCGGATTGTGCAGCTTGCACTGAAATATGTCGCCGGTGATGCAGCCCACGAAGAGCTCGCTGTCGCGGAGATTCACGGTGATGGCCGTTAGCGGCACGTCAAATATTATCGACAACATGTTCTGCGCGTTGCCGATCTCATAGATATTTAGTGTGCGATCCATGGAGACTGTATACAATCTCGTACGAGCGCCGCCATAGCCGAAGCACAGATCATTGACTGGCAGGCTGTGGTGGAGAAACTTGTGAATGATAGGACAATGGTCATTGAGCGCACTGAAGAGCGACCATACAAACACCAAGCCGTCATCACCGCCGCTGGCGAACAATGAGCCGTCCTTTGTAGTGGACAGACAGTTGATCTTCTGTAAATGCTCGCTAAACGTGGCTAACAACCGACCGCTACAGGTTTGCCAGATGAACAGGTTTTCTCCGATGGCCGCGATGATATAGGAGCCGTTGGGTGTGCATGTCAAGGCGTTGATCTTGCCTGGGGTGGTCAATCTGATGTTATTTACAGGCGCAGAGTTGTTCAACGGCCACACGTATAGACGGTGCTTGGTGGAGTCAGCACCTAGGAGATAGCAGTCGCTGAGGAGCTGGAGACTGCGGCGGCAGAGCGCTCCAGTGTTCTTGAAGAGGGATAACAGGGAACCGTTGGAGGGGTCCCAGACTGCTGCGCTGCAGCTCTGCCCGGAAGCCTCGCTTGTCAGGATAACCTCGAGTCTAGTGTGGCTTGCTTGTTGCATCCTGAAATTTCAGTGATTCTTATGCTGTGCTACGTACGATCGCGTTCAGCCTCTATTTTTTCTCTCTTGAATTTGTATTCTACTTGAATGCATATTTAAATACGTACTTGTTTCACACTGTGTAGAATATGTAACTCGATGAAGATGAATTTAATAGTACGTGAAACACGAGTTGGTCCTTCTTATCCACATCAACCGTCCTCGTGGACATCTGGAATTGCTGTGGCTGCGTTCCGATATTCGTTGCCAGCACTGAAAATCTATAGTATAAGTGACACAAACTATATATCTTCAGTACCGGCAATGAGTATCGGAACGCAGACTATAGCGTGAAACAGGTAAGGTTAGGGTTTCCTGTTGGTCTGTTCTTTATTGTTGCATCCCTTGCACTAGTTTTCTTTTCTTCTCCATCAAAGACCACCTTCGCCATTTCCGATTGACTGATTGTCATTGATCATTATTCCATTGGAATTAACCAATCGCACTTGTCATCATACGGAAGTAACTAAAATTGCGGTTAACGTTTGGCCGATCAATTAAAAGTTTGTTCGTTTTAGCTGAACTAGCACTGAAAATCTATAGTATATATGACATAAACTATATATTTTCAATATTGGCAGTAAGGCCGGTATTTATAGTCGGATCTTATATTTAAGACCGTCTTGAAATAATGAAATAATTCGTACAGATGCTGTACGAATTATTTCATTGGCTACGGGGTATCTGAAGATGTACTTAAGACGATCTTAAATATAAGACCTAACTATGAATACCCGCCTAAATATCAGAATGCAGTCGTTATTTTTCACCTCAACGCAATTTTATATACTCGTTTCACTCCAGCAGCAAAAAGTGCAAACTAGTTTAGCTAAAAAGAACAGACTTTGAGTTAATCGAAGATAGTTCTAAGTAGAGAAAATCCAAAGAGCGGCTAAAACGCCGATGGTTTGGCGCGCCATCTGCGCTCATTTTTGAGATGTAACTAATGGTCCGTTCTTTTCAGCTGCACTGCGGAACTAGTGCAATAAGTTAGAATGAGACAACTATATTTTTTCTCACTTTAACTTATTGCACCAGTTCAGTAGTGCAGCTAAAAGGAACAGACCATAAGTTCGTTACATTCATTTTCATGTGCGGCTGGTAAAGCCTCGTCATGTCCATGCTACGCCTACTTTTCTGACGGTTCATGTTCGTGCTGTGCTCATAATTAGTGTCGGCCAAAATGCATGCGCATGATGCACGATGAAAATGAATGCGTCCTGTTCACTCTCTGCGCCTGCGCAATTTTTGAAAAAGCATAATACGAATATTAGTACAAATTACTTATGCAAATTAAATTGTTATACAGTTAATTAATTAATTAATTAATTAATTAATTAATTAATTAATGGAATTACACATTTTTTTGAGTGAATATTATGTTGAAAATTAGTGAAATAAAAGAAATTAATACATATAATACATACAATCATGACATATCATTGTTTTGCACCTGTTTGTATACAGCACACTTTCGGGGCGTTTCCTCGTTGAATATTATATTTTATATACTTATATGTTATTATATTTATAAATATTATATTATTATACTTTTATATATAAATTTATATTATTATACTTTATATTATACTCTATTCTCTCTAACCTTTCTCCGATAAATTGATCGGATTCTGGGATTATAGATAATTTGTGCGAAAAGACAGAGATAATACACATGTGCATTTCCTGCTCTATCTCACTTCCATTATAATTTGGCGTCATAGGCTTATAGGAAAAAGGAGCTCATGCTCCATTTATTTATACTATGCTCTCGGGTTTTTCTCTGGCAATGTACGAATTTATATTTGAGAATCAGTAGCTCTCTAATAGTTAGGTCATACAATTTCTTAAGTTTGACAAACATAACAATTTTATTGTAGTAAATATTTCATAGAGGGATAAAATATACATTGCTCAGAACAGCGATAATATAACGTTTTATAATAATTGTTATTATATTATATTATATTATATATAATTATTTCTTTTAACAGCAGTAACGTGAAAAATTTCATATTTTTATTCATATGTGAAACTTTTCGCTTCTCATTCTTCCTGCTCTTAAGAATGAATTATATAATGGCATTTACGTATTTATACATTCTGCGCATGCGTAGAATTTCTACATTGTGCATGTAAAACATCGATATCGTCGTCTGATGATTCACACATAATCATAGTGTAACGTGTAAAACGCACACAATATGAGCTTCTTATGCAATTGATTATTCGTCCCTAAAATATTACGTTATCGGAAACTTTATTTATATATCGTTCTTCGCCCGTTTCCCCTGGAACTTAACCTCGAAAAATTTTGTTCAAGAAGCATTTTCAAATCCATTCTAATGACTGGTCACAGGCACGTGACGTGACATCACACATATAACTACAGTTCGCGTTAGATCCCCCCCCAGGAAGAGTGATGTTTCGTCGTGATTTCACCACAATTGTTTACATTTAGCGTTGAAACCGTTCAGTTTAAGGCATCGGATATTGTCCTTAGCACATTTTTACTCGTCCATGGGATTTATCGACGATGAGTTACAAGAAGTCTCACGGCTCTGTCAAAACGTTGTCGATGGAAGCCGACTCGTTTCCTGCGTGCAAAGTATGGTCCGAGTCGAAATAACGTAAGGAGATTCTGTTTTTTTTCCCCCTCTTGTACTTCCTCTTCTCCTCCCCTCTTTCTCTCACTCTCTATCTCTCTCTCTCTGTCTGTTAATGTATGTTATGTCTTTGCTGTACTTTGACTTAAGTTGTTTACTTAAGTGGAAAGTACTTTTTATTGTTACTACTAAGGTATTTTGTACTCTATAGGAAAACAACGTTCAAGAAACTTGTTGTGTGCATTCAGTTTCCACAGGATTATCCCTCGTCACCACTGTTAATTGAGTTAAAGAGTAAGACTTTATCTACAAAGTTGCTAGATGGCCTAACTAAAGTCTGCGAGAAGAAGTGCAAGGGCCTCTTGAACAAAGCACAGGTGTTTATACTTCAAGCATTTGTTATGTACGAGAGAATCGTATTTGGACAATAACTTTTTGTGTTTGCAGATATTACCGACTTTAAAGTTCATCAGGAGTTATATCGAGGAGAATTCCCTTATCTGCTGTTATGAGGAGATCTCGATATTGAAAGAACTCCTAACAGATCAAGACGAGTTAAAACTAAAGCAGAAGAATTCCACCATTCATTTAATAGTAAATCAAGGCTTATATTATTTTAAAACCAAGCTTGTAGTACCAGATAATTATCCCACCAGTAACGTTAGGTATGTACATCTTTCTATATAAGAATCTAATTTTCTCTTTTTTTTTTTAGCTGAACTCGGTCTGTGCTAAGGTTTCATTCCTTTTCTTTACAATACTAAAATATATATTTGTTCCATCTTAAAGAAGTAGAAAGTGCAACTTATTTTAGCTGAAAAGACTCCAAATCAATATAATAAAATAAAATCCAATGTTATTATTTTGCATTGTTTGCAGTTTGACAGATCCTGATACAAACTTCTCACCGTTGCTTTGCCGTTACCTGGTGGGACAAGGAAAGGAATTAGGAAGGCAATGTGTCGAGCCACCATTGAAGAAACAAGCACAAAATACACCATTCACACCATCCCCATCTTTAAACACTGTTGCTTCCTTTCTCATAAAGTAATTATCAATGGATTTTATCGTATTTCACATCAAGTGCATTAGTTTTTTCAGTGTTGAGCATTGATGGATTAAGATTTTAATTGACTAAAACAATCAACAAATTAGTCAACAAGATAACAATTAATTAATCGTTATATATATGCAATTTAATCGTTTGATATAATTAATTATATTGATATTAATCTGTGTATAATTAATCAAATCAAAGTAATCGATTGAAACAGTCATTATATGAAACCATAATTTACTCAATGTTAATTTTCATGATTTCAATTGACCAATATTTCAATCAATGCCCAACATTCATATTAATCGAAAGTAAACAACGCTTACGATAATTACAATATATTTTGATGTCGACGATATATAACGATATCTACAGAACTACAACATAATTTTCGGTTATCATATGAGCTGTTACTATCATATTCACAGTCTAATCTTCTGTTTCTTCAAATCGAAACTTCTCGAATTTATATTTAAGTCTACACTCTTCTTTCTTTCACCTTCCATTGCCAATAAATTGATGCTGTTGGAAGATATTGTTTTAGCCACTCGTAGTTGGATCCCTCTTCTTGCAAACAGGAAATGATAATCATTCCAGCTGCTGAAGCAACAGCGATATCTTAACATAGCATTAGAAATTGTTAAAAATTTTTGGAAAAAAGTTCTTTCATCACATTAGAATTTGTTCTCTTAAAATATTTATTGTATCAGGTTTCCATGTTCTTAGATAGGCTCAAGATATTTCAAGAAATTTGTTCCATTTGTCTGCACATTTATCCTTCTCTATAATTTTTCTTTCTCTTTTCTCTTTCCATCAGATCTTGTTACACATGCATAGTCAACTGATACAGCTCTTTGATTTCGTAACGTTTCATGTTTTTTGCAGAACTGTAAAAGCTCTTCCTCAAGAGAATTGCCAGCTATGCAAAGTAACCTGCTTACCAGCCAACCCAGAGGAGGTTGTGCTCGACGAAAACGCGGACCTTCACGCCGAACGACTCTATTGTGGTCATCTATTCCACTTACGATGTTTCGTGACATTCATGAAGACTCCGCCGTTCCATGGTAAACGAGATTTCTGCTCAAACGTCGAATTTCATTGGATATAAGAGATTCTGAGGGAAACTTTTTTTATTTTCATTTATTTGTTCAAGGGGGTAAAAAGTGTCCAAGTTGCGGGCAACGCGTGTACCATGACAAATGGGGATTAAGCGACAAATTAGCGGAAGCACGTTGGGCTCATCAGCAAGCACGAGCAAGAGAGTTGGCGGAAGTAGAAGAGTTTTTCAATTGAAACCACACTTCGCATGCGGGACTGTAAATTAGCGCAATATTCAACGACAAAAACCTCTTTAGGAAACATATGTGTGACAATAGACTATACATAAGAAGACGAAGCAACTGGCATTTTGGATATAAACGAAATGCTGAAGGATCAAGTGAGGAGAATTGCACATATAAGATGTACGTGAAGATTCTCCTACTTATATCCCTAGAAGATTATATATCCCTAGAAGATCAAGTATTCTTCATAATTGTATTTATCGAGAAAGTTGGAGCAATGTTGATGTTCCCTCCGAAATATTTTTAAACGACGAACTTGAGTGCTTTTGAGAAAGTCACTTCGACTTTGACGAGATTGCCATCGGTCATATAATCAAAGACTGGTATTGTTGCTTCTTCAACCGTTGATGAGAAACACTACTCGAGTAGTGTGACTCGTGTACGCGGTGTTGGACATTAATCTCGAAAAAAATCTTGACTAAGGCAAATCGGCAAATCAATAAGCAAAATTAATCGATCGTTATGTGTAATTGTTAATGTAATCGTGAGCAACTTAATCGATCGATGAAATATGTTATTAATCGGTCATAATTAATCGGTATAATCAATCAAAGCAAAGCAATCGATTCAGTCATCATATGCAATCATGATTTACCGAATGTTAATTTTGATTATTTCTATTTTCTAAATTGCAATCGATTAGTGCCCGATACTGGTGTAATGAAATATGAAACGCGTTTTATCGTTAAATCTTCCGTCTTATTTCGTTGCATGCGAATGTAATTATCCATTTTTCTCGGTTATCATTTCGCGAATCGTAACAGTACGAAAGGCAGGATAAGCTGAATTTCTGGGGCACAACCAATAATTAACTATTTGAAGAATAATTACGGGATCTTCTACCGACCAAGCATAGACTAAGAAAATAATAAGAGGCATTTGTTTCTCTTGTGATTTGCGCTAACGGCGAGTAAAGGTAAACTATGTTTGATAATCTACCTCGTGGTTTCACTCCGATGTCCTTAACGAATCAAGTGTCCACGCAATTTGCAACGATGCACAAGTATCACGAAAATTCGGACCGAGCGTAACGAATACGTAGAAAAGCCACAGAAACCCCTTAAATGTAAAATACTACAATCTCTGGTGTAATCGCTTCAAGGTTATCGTCTTGTGCGTAAATATTACGAGCTTGATATATGTTTTATAAAATAGTATTAATTTTTCTTATGAAGATCGACCCCATGTGTCGCGCACGTCGATGCGCCATGTGAGACAGGTCAGCTTGTTCATTGGTGCACACAATTCTGATACAACCTAGGTCCCTATCTTAGACGAATAGCGAACGTTAAGTAAACTCTCTTAATTCCAAGTTTCCTGGTTATTTTGTCAACGTCTCATGTAATACCGTTGTTTCAGCTTGAGAATCAGAGAAAGGCGTACTCAGCGTTCAGTGCATGCGTCTAGCACCTCTGCTAAAGTTCGGATCAAACGTAGTAAACCCGCAAATCTGGAAGGGAGATCTCGTGAATTTGAGATCTCCGTAAGCACCAGTACTAATACAGTAACGCTACATCAATATTATAATTTGATAACTCAAAGAGCGATGTAAGTGCAATTTAACGCGTGTTATCCATAACAGTTACATTGTTGCGATGTTACCATTTACTTGGATGTCTCGATTTTCGATGCGTTCGTTTTAAGGTTGCCGTCTATGTGAACGTTGCGAGCTTAACTCTTTGGAAAGGGGAGGGGGCATACTATTTTAAGACGAAAAGTACTAGTTGCATAGAAATTTTATGTAAAAAAAAAATAACACAAAGTGAGTTCGTTTCATTTATAAACGATGAAATCGCCGTGCTTTTCAAGTTATCTTAATGTTTCAAAATGGAATGAAGAACATTCCACGGTACATATATAGGGTGAGGCACGTAAAACAGACTATCTGAATAACTTTGAAAATACGCAAGATAGGAAAAAATGTTAAAGAATACAGAAGTTGTAAGGTTTTGAATGACGTAGATCACGTAGTAATACTAGTACGACCTTGAACAGCGTCATCAAGATTACAGGAAGGTCACCTTGAATTTTTTGAATGGAAACCCCCATTTTTTATTGTATCATCTTTTTCTACCAATTAATTTGAACAACTTTTGTCTGAAACATCTTTTCATTTGCTTAATGTTTTTTGAGATATTTAAGGAAAATTTAGCATTCAACTTGATAACTTTTGGAAATTTCAAGATTATCAAGTTAACAAAAGTTAGGGCATTATTCTATATTTTTGAGACCAAGTAGAATAAAAAAGTCTAGTACCACTTTTTCTTTCAAGATACATCATCGAAATATTGTAAGCTAAATATTGAAAAAATTACCAAGTTTTTCTCAAATATCTCAAAAAACATTAGGCAAATAAAAAATGCTTCAGACAAAAGTTAAGTTCAAATTAATTAGGTAGATCAAGATGGTACAATAAAAAAATGAGGGTTTTCATTAAAAAAATTCAAGATGACCTTCCCGTAACCTCGGTGACGCTGTTCAAGGTCATATTAGCATTGCTGTAATGCTAATATAATAAAAAATCCTTATTTAAAAAATCCTACAACTTCTGTATTCAACACGTTTTTTTCTATCTTGCATATTTTCAAAGTTATTCAGGTGGCGTCACGTTTTCGATGCCCCACCTTGTATAGGTAATAAAACGGCGGTACACTTTTTATCCTACTCTCCTCCAAAGAGCCAATGCACATTCCGTAAAATGTTATTAATCTTCCTCCCATGGAAATCGATCCTACGTGTATCGTGTACATCGATGCGCTACGCGAGACGGGCCAGCTCGCTGGTCGACGCATACGATTATGATACAACCTGCAAAAATTATCTTAGGGGCAGAAGTGTGATGGTCGTACGGGTGCAGTCTCGTATGTATGCACGAATAGTTGTGACCGTGTTCGTGATGTATTGATCCTCGGTACTGACTATAGTGATATTCTCTTCGTCTCCTCTCTCACTCTCTCTCTCTCACACACACACACACACACACACACACACACACACACACACACACACACACACTCTCTCTCTCTCTCGAGATGGCCTCTTGCACGCGCATATTTTCGTTTCTTCTGCCGCACGTTTACTTTGCTGCACCCTCTCGCTCTCCCACTCACTCAGTTAGTGTTCTTTACGCGTGTGTTCATCGCAACACCTCGGGCGCATATGGTATATTAGAACAAACGGAAGAGAGAAGGGAGAGAAAAAAAGGGAGCGAGGGAGGAAAGATGCCGGGAAATGCACGGCGGTCTGACGACCCACTACGAGAAACGATCCGATCGTTAATCAGCTTCAGATGCTCGATAAGGCAGTCGAACAGAGAAGACTCGTATTTTTGTACGCACGTCTCGACGCAGTTTTAATTTTAGGGTCGCAGCAGCTTCTCGATGTTGACTCGATCTCAACCTCACCGAGTAATGTCTAAGTCGTGTGTGAACAAATGATTCAAATAAAATGCATGGTGTGAGAGAAGAATCAGCTCTCTCGTGATTGCGCGGCCTCGAACTTCCCAGCGCCGATAACGCGCGACGAAGGATGGAGAGAAAAAGACGAGATAACGCGCCGAAAGGCGAAATCTCCATTTTACAGGGACGTCGGCCCACCACCGGTCGAGACTGAAAATTCAATTTTAATATCCACGGGATAGAGTGGTGGCTCTGTCCGAGCGGCGAATAATAGTCGATTGTTCTCTCTCTCTCTCTCTCTCCCCGATATATTTACAATGGCAATAAAATGGAGCTCGCGCGTGAATGCGCCGGTTCCCAAGGGTGATCGACAAAATTTTTCTCCCGCCGCCCGCGTGTTCGCATTTGGCTCTGGGAGACAGCCTGGCAGACTAATTCCCAGTTATCGATTCCACGCATACGTGGAAACGTACGCTCGTGTCGCACTCGTAGGGCGGACACTCGCGCGGCCCGTGAGTTCCTTACGACGGCACACCTGAAACCGAAACGTGTATTATCGACGATGAGGTGTGCGAATCTGGAATCCCCTCCCTTCTCTCCCTTTCTCTCACTCTTCTCTCTTCACGGTCGCGCGTTGTCTCCCGACATGTTGGGCGTACCGGCGACCGGCACAGAAAATTTCTCTCGGAGGAAGCGGCGCGAGGAGAGAGAGAGAGAGAGAGAGAGAGAGAGAGAGAGAGAGAGAGAGAGAGAGAGAGAGAGAGAGAAGAGAGAGAGAGAGTCGCACTGCCCCAGAGAGCATAGGCACCGTTTCGCGCCGGGGGTGATTCTGGGTCGATTTCTGGGTCGATAGACAGAGCGCGTCCGAGGGCGAACGTGGCAGCAAATTGCACGTGTCATATGCAATTTCATTATTGCAGCGGCGGTTATTAAGCCACGGCTGTGCTCGCATTAGGGTCGATTCCGGCCCGGCGTGGTGTTTGACTGTTCACCGGCTACGGGTTTGCGGGCGATCGCGAGGGGTTTCCTCGGTATATGCACCTGGAGTCGTTCACACCGATTTATCTCGCGCTAAGAATAGCCCGGCGCTTCTTTTCGATGCGGCCGGCGGGTGTATTAACGCGAGATATGCAATACGCCGTCGCGAGGATACGTTGCCATTCCCATTATGACCCGCGCGAGTCGGAAATTACTCAGCGCATCACGAAGATCCTGAAGCCCTCTTCTCACGCAGATCACAGATCACCGAAATGTCGATATCTACGAAATATCATATCGCTTGAAAAGAAAAAGTGGACGCATCGTGGTTGAATAAAAAGAGATAATATTGGGTTGGCCAACAAGTACCCAGGCAGAACAGAAAATCATGACGACGTCAAAATGATAAGAAAATGCATTTTTTCATCATGATTCGGTCATTTTCTCGTCATTTTGATGTCATAATTTTATGTTCTATTTGTGTAATTACGCGGAATCCAATCGTATCTGAGGACCATACCAAGTTGGTGCAAATGGTTCTCAACACTGGATTTCGATGTTCCTAATATTTCAGCAATCTGTCGTGTGGTATAACGTGGATTATCTTCAATTAGACTGGGGATTTGATCGTTATCAATCTCGATAGGTCTGTCAGAACGTTTATCATCGCTAAGACTAAAATCTCCATCACGAAGTTTTTTGAACCATTTTTGCACCTTCACTATGGTGCAGTATCTTTCGTGCTGCTAGTACCGCAATTTTGTGAGAATAGAAAGCGTAATTGCATATCAAAATATATCCTCTCGTTGTTCATCCCTAACAGAAATTTATTACTGGCTGTAATAAATTGGCCAGTAATAATGAGTAATTTATAACTCGTATGAGTAATTTTATTCATACGAGTAATAAAATTACTTATGGCCAGTTTATTACAGCCAGTAATAAATTTCTATAAGAGATCTTCAGATCAAAATAAACACTGAAAAATTTAACCAAATATAATGAACTTTTTTTTTAAATTACACGTTAAAATTTCAGTTTTTAGACCGTACATGTGTTTTATAGGTTACGGATAGTCTCTTATTTAAAAACAGCAGAAGCAGCCTCTTATGAAAAAATCCGACGTTACTTATTGGCTAATCCAATATTAAGCCTGCTTTTTCCTGTTTTTTTTTTTTTCAAAGCTAAAATAAGATAAATGTCTCAATTAATGACAGTATAATTTGTGACAATTACACTAGCGTTTCTTAATAAATCAGTTAGTATGGGCTCACAATTATCCTATAAACATGTGATTTTTTATTCTAAATTTTACATACTACCGATTATAACAAATCGGATAAAATTAAACAAATGTTGGAATATTATAATGCTAAACTGCTGACGGCGACAGTTGGAGCAGCTACTCGTCGACATCTTAGAAATTGACAATTAATATCAAATGTTACATCAATCTGTTACATGTCGCTGATCTGTGCAATTGTTCTTCTTCCAAACTAAACTAAAATGTCCTATCGTTAAGTCGTACTTCGGTAATATGATATTTTCGAGAGAAAATATATTATAAATAAATTAAAATCTTTTTACAAGTTATATAGAAAAAAATACAACCCTTTTATTAATTAAACCCCAAATATCCAAACCTTCCAATAAAAACGACTTTGTGCACTGAGCTTAACACGTGTATCATTAATTTATTAATCCATTTTCACAATAAAATTACTTGATCGCCGATTAAGACATTCATTTCAGTGCTACGTTGGATCTTCGTTCCTTAATTGTATGCTTCTGTCACTTTGAAGCTAAACGATGCAACCTAGTTCAGCGGGGAAAAAAGAGACCCATTATCTGCGAGTTAGCGAATTAGCACGATTAAAAACCGAGTTTCACACGAGGAAAAGAAGATTGATTAAATTAATGCAGCAAAATGAACGAATCTCTCGAACACGTTTCAGTTGAAGAAAAACATGACTTTGGACTCTCAGAACCGGTTTCTCTTCGCCAGAGGATCAGGAACTTTGTTTTCTTCGACTAAAATGCGTCCGACTCGTTTGTTGTCAATTTTATACAAGCAGACTCCTTCCTCCCCCAATCCGCGTATGACTTTTATTTTCAAATTTTTCCGTTGTATCAACGTTGCGCCGCGTCGTTGACTAGACGTTAATCAAGATATCGGTCAATTTCCTTTTCTTTTTCTTTTATTTTTTAATCTTGTTAAATTTTTATTACCCACCTCAATTAAATTAATTAAAACTTGCATCTCATTTTTGTACGTATATATACAAATATCTTCTTTAACTTTGTCATTTTTGAAAAGGGGATTTGTGTGTCCCGTAAATAAGTAAATAAATAAATGATTTCCGGCCGTGTCGTAACCGTAATCGAGGCGCGGCGAGTCCTCCGCGGATGGTCCTCGCGAGAGATGGAGACTACGAGAGAGAGGGCCAGCAGGACTTTCCTCCTGGCCGTCGTGCGCGAAGCGAGTCGACATTATACACACGATACACACCTATAATCGCACATGGGGCAGTTTCGTCGTAACGCTTCGTGGATCGATAGCCGGGAAATGGCCGGAAGCCAAGTCCGACGACATCGTTTCGAGTTTTGCCGTTGTCATAGCGCGGGGGCTAACCCCTTTCGCCGAGTGTCCCACTTCTGTATCAGTA